TTTGTGTATGGAGTAAGTTGGTCATTTTTTTTGCATGTATCTGTCCAATTTTCCGAACATGTATTGAAGAGACTGACTGTCTTGACTCCATTTTATGCTCTCGCCTCCTTGGTCAAATATTAAGTGAGCATAATGGCTTCTGTCAATTTCTGGGTTCTCTGTCTGTTCCATTGGTCTATATGTCTGTTCTTGTGCCAGTACCAGGCAGTTTTGAGAACAGTGGCTTTGTAGTATAGCTTGATATCTGGTATTGCGATTCCTCCAACGTTGTTCTTCTTCCTCAAAATTGCTGAGGCTATTTGGGGTCTTTTTTGATTCCATATAAATTTTTATCGTTTTGTATCCCAGATGAATTTTTGCAGTTTGTTCTAGGTCTTTGAAGTATGCCTTTGGTATTTTAATGGGGATTGCATTGAATTTATAGATTTCTTTGGATAGTATGGACATTTTAATGATCTTGACTCTACCAATCCAAGAACATGGCATATTCTTCCATTTGTTTATGTGTTCCTCTATCTTTTTTTTAACGTCCTATAATTGTCTGATTATAGGTCCTTTACCTCCTTGGTTAAATTTATTCCTAGGTATCTTAATCTTTTTGTTGCAATGGTAAATGGGATTATTTTTTTCATTTCTCTTTCTGTGAATTTATTATTGGTGTATAAAAAAGCAATAGACTTTGGGTGTTAATTTTGTATCCTGCTACATTGCCAAATTCATTTATTAAGTCTAGTAGTTTTTTGATGGAGTCTTTAGGGTTTTCTAGGTACAATATCATGTCATCTGCGAATAATGACAATTTTACTTTTTCTTTTCCAATTTTGATGCCTTTCAATATGTCAACATAGTTAATGCTTTTAAAAGCTACTATGCTTAAGAATAATAATAACATTGAGCACTTTCATTGGATAAGACCACATGCTAAGTGTTTTTCATGGAATATCTCGTTTAATCTTTAAACCAACTTTATCAGACAGAAACCATTACCCTTATTTCCAGAAGAGGAAATGGAGGCTTAGAAATATAAAGTAGCTTCTCTGATTGTCACAGTGCTGTAAAGGGAAGAAATTGGGCTTGAAAACAAAATCTGTCAAAATCAAATTCCTGTGATCTTAACCATACTCAATACTTCACTTAAAATCTTAATTAGTATAAAGAACACTAATCTCTTAAAGCTTTTCAGAATATACAATGAAATAAATTCAATAAATTTTTTTAAACATTATATACTTTTAAGTATCATATAGTGAAATAACTTACTAATTACCAATTCTGTCTATGTCATTAAAGCAAGTCCCTTCCTCTACTGGCTACTTTATTAACCTACTCTAGTTACTCTCTATATTTAAACATAATAAAACTCATTTTTTTACAAAAATAAACCCATAATTCACCCTTACCTAAGACTATCTTCAATCCTCAGCCCAAATTCCTGAGTTTACTATCCTATCTAATAAAAGACAAAAAGGGTAATTGACTGTACCTTTGCTACGCTTTCCATAGGCTAATCAGGGTGATATGCAAATTAACCGCCAACAAAGATGGCGGCCGGCAGCCACGCAGCTGAAGCGAGCAGGAGGCTTGCTTGCTCTGTGATGGAGGAAGCCAAGGTTCCCCGCCTGCCATGGCCCGGCTCTGAGCTCTGAAAGCAACAGCTCCGAAAGCAACAAAATTTCAATTAATGAAGCTAAACAAATCC